AAATGCACTTTTGATTTTTACTGTCGTTCCTGAATATTTGTACTCTGGGCCACATTTTCAAAGGATTTATTAACTACTTTTATATTGTAATGATCTTGTCATGTAGTCAGTCTGGCGACGAGACATAACATACTTCACCCTGAGCCTACGTCTTGACCACTTCCTTAAGACCACGTGTAATATTCTTTATAATATTTATGTTTTCACCAAAAAAAATTAACATCATCGGAATATACCAGAAGCTGATGTGTCCCATTCAAGCCCAATTCTTCTTTGTTTGTGTTTTTTTAGGTTTCCTTATTGGGTATCCAAAAGCAAAGCGGAAAATCAATTATGAAAAAGCATCTCGTTTGTTTCAGACCATTCTAAACAAGAAACAATCAGACAAATGTTTACCGATACTAATTTTTCTATATAGATAATTTAAATACGTTTAATTAACCCGACTAATTTGTGTACCAAATTAAATTATTATGTTGCATAATACCAATAAGACCTGCCACGAAGTAGTAGCGGCCTACTTCCAGATAAAGTTGAACGCAACTGTCTCTTCGGGGCTCCCGGGTAGAACTCCTATGAAAAGGTTACGTTCACTGTATTGCTTTTATAGAGCGATACTTGACTCGTATCGGGAAAACCTTGTTGCACTTGGCGGTGAGTCATGCAGTTCAAGCAGGGTGCCGGGAAACTGTCCCTAAATTCAAGCAAAAATGTGAAATAAATCAATGAAAACCTCAACAGGATGGCTGATATATCATAACGTAATCGAACTTGGTGCCTGTAGAATAAAAATAAGCCATGCTGCCATATGAGCTATCATGCTCGCTGAGATAATTTCAGTCATGTGCTAACAGGAGTCGTACACTCTTGGAAGACTTCAATCACCGCCCACAGTTTCCAGACAGCGATGGTCTCATTGTGCGACGTTTGTTTGAAATGAAAAGGCCACTTCCGGTTATAAATGGCCATCGGGCAAGACGGGAGCCATAAAACAAACTGCAGAACGCAAACTGAGCATACACCCAGGCAATTATTTACCGTAATAGTCTACGTTCTTTTCTGCGATGACAAATGCTGGGCCACAGTAACTTATATTTTACGATCCTACATCCTTATGTGTGCTATATGATGTAGACAAGGAGTTTATCCTCAGATCACAAACAGGCACGAGTCTATTTAAGATGACGTCCTACTTTAAAATGTGATTTAGAATTAAATCAAACATTTCAGTATCCTTAGTCAGCAAATTGTCCTTTAACAGCCACGTATTAAGCCTCTATCAGAAGCACCGGTTTTTCACGAAATCTGTTTAATCTTCTACATGCACAGTTAATTAACATCATAATCAATGTACGTAATAAAAGGAAATTTCTTCGTCATAACACGTAAATGTTAGCGCACTGCAAAGAAACAAACACTGAATATTTATTAATATAACGAAATTCAAGTTCCGGAAAATAAATTGACATCACTACATACAATAGTACATCTCAGAAATATAATAGTTGCTCAGCTTGTCAAGAAATTCCCTGCCTTTATGAACCCGGAATATATATATCGTTTTCACAAGAGCCTGCCATAGGAACACGCCTAACAATAGACTTAATGTTTCCCATTATAAACTGTTTCTAAACTGCTATCCCCCAAAATACGAAGACATCAATCTCCCTTTGGCGGGACGAGAAATGCAGGTGTTATCGTATTCCCACAATGTCCTGCATCCTCTAGGAATACTGCATATTTACCAGAAAACGAAATTCTATTAAGTCTATTTTCCTTAATATTTCTTGTCAAGAACTCGCAGGCCTGTACCTCTGTCTCGTTAAGATAATGTTCAGGTACTAGATTAATAACCAAGTCACTTCAACTGAAATGAAAGTGTTAGAAAAATCACCGATTCGAATGTAACTGTATGAAGCAAGAAGTTCTTCAAAATAATGTTAAACATGTAGTCCCTACCACGAAGAAAACCTCAAAGTCTCCGAACATTAACTGGTTAATGTTGCGTCGAGAAAAATGTCTGTTTATTCTAAGAATTGTATGAAACCCATAAAAACACTGCTGGTAAAATGCAGAGGAAGTAAATGTTAAAGCAGGTGGTTCATATAGTTACCGTTGCCTTTTAAATTGTTACAAAAGGATTTAAAATTCAAAGCAAGTTCCGAATTGCAAATAAAGTAAACATATGTCAATGCATATCAAAATCACAAAGAGGAAAATAAAATGTCATGCCTGTACCACACTGTCGTAAAACATCGGTATTTACCAAGCCCAAATTTCTTTGTTAAGAAGCTTATTGTTTTTTCTTTGCTTTAAAGAACATTATCTAACACAATGGAAACAAAAATTAGAAGCATTGAAATATTTGAGCAGTACAACGAAAGACTTCTAACACATTCACATAATTCTCAAAACAAATGTAAACGACTCACGATAACCTAAAAGTAGCCATTGTTCAGCTTAGTGACGTACCACATGACGTAGCAATGACGGTGACACAGCCCGTGCAGCGAGCTGAAGACGCGAAGCATGCATCACCATCACCGAAGATCACCAACTGACTGCAGTTCGCAGGCGAAGCCAGCATCCCGCTACACATTCTGTGCGCAAGCTCGGTCTACGCTCCACATCAAAGTTACAGAAACCATTAGCGGCGTTGCTCCATATAACGCCACAGCGACATTACAATTAAATATTCTGACTACTGCAAGTCGTTATCATCCTTTTGCATACTTTACGTAAGGCACGCTACGTAATGTGACGTCGGATGGTAACAACAGTGTCTTCAATTACATCTACATAATATTGTTTTATATATAAGCAAAGCTTGTAACATCGTGTCTCTCTTTATATGCCTGGTACCACACCTTTTCAACCACTGGGCCCATTTGCTCGGTACAAAACACAGTGTTGGAGGAAAATATATCTTTGTGCGTTATTTTTAAATCAATGCTGTACATAAGACGAACATAATTACGTCAAAAGCCTGTCCGTTTTCTCACTGTAGACCTCGACAAAAATAAAATATAAAGATCATTTGACAGTGTCGCGAAGATCGAAATTACTGCAGATAAATAAACTCTGGTGTGCGTGTGGTACAGGTAAAAGGAACTCATCTCAGATACCTGCTACTGTTTAACGTCAACCAGAAAATTGTTGTGAACCGCTGTATTATTCCACCGGGATTCAGACCCGCGATACCTGCATCCAGGAGGTCACACGCATCACGATTTACAAATTTTCTCTGACTTGTTTGATAGCTGTTTCTAAATACTGATTTCTCTCAAATAAAACGTTTTTGCAATTTAATTTTGCTAAACAGGCTCCACAAATTTAAATTACAAAATCTGGTGACGCATCTCGCACTATGACGTAACAATGAAGCCACATTATCAATGTTTCCGTGTGACCTACTCATATTGTACCTCCGTGCTCAAAAGACGCGCGATTAAAAAACCGTGTATCAACTATGCAAATAAACGACTTCTATTTCCGCCCCTTTCTCAGAACGTTACACTGAACGGGTTATATGCGTGTCTGTGCTGAAGCAACTGATCCCCTTTAAAAGGGACAAAGAATTTCTTCCCAAGCTCTTGACGATTCCCCACTCACAACCATGTTTTTACCAGGTAACTAATTTAATGGAACAGATTCCTCCTTTAGACAATAATATTCTCTGAGTTATTCAAAAAGAAAACTGAAGGATTATTACCCCGATCACAATCGCTCGTCACTGCGCCCAATCCTGAGCCCAAACTCTATTTATTTAAGATCCATTTCAATATTATCCTCACATTTCCGCCTAGGTCTTCTAAGTAGTTCTCACCTTCTGGATTTCTGACTAAAACGTTATATGCATTACTCGCCGCCCCCCATGCGTGTTACATTCCCCTATGCTCGTACTACATATGGTCACGGAAAAGTACAAGTTACGAAATTCATCCTACAAGGCCTACAGTGCTACGCTTTTACCAACCGAAGTTGGTTCACTGGTCCCATAGATGAAAGACGGTAACGATTAGTAACACGGATATTCTATGCCTATTATATTCACTTCGTAGAAAGTGCTAAGAACGCATCAAACTGTCAAAATGTCCACATTTACGTAATTTTATTCCTTTGTGTTTACGGACCGTAAATGTAGACCCAGAATGACATGCAGGTATTTAAGTCTAGTCATGCTTCTATTATAATTAAGTTTCTTTGGTAACGCTTGTGGTTGTAATATTAATAGCTTGCTACGTAGGCCTATAGCTCCTCTGCCTAACTTCATAAGCTCTCCGTAATAAACAACATTATAACACTAGGCTACGTTGCAGCAAAGAAGACAGAATGATAATTATCCTGATCCCCTGCTTTGCCCCATTTCTGCTTTTCAGATAGAACTGAAGCTAAACTGAAAACAACTCTTCGATTACTTCTTAATCTTATGTAAAAGTGATTTTCTGTGTCAGCAAAATATTCCATTAGGTTTCCCCTAATACACTTTTATTCTTGTGCAATGGCTGAAAGAAGAAAAGTGGATTCCTGTGAACACTGAAACACAAAGAATAATGCGATTTACAAACTCTAGGCATAAAGATCTATTGATGCTTACACAGATCAGATAAAAAGTATGCAAATCCTCTTCAGTTCAGGTAGGAAAATGAAAGTGTTTATGGTGTCATCCTTAATTAGAACCAAATTACGAAACGTGATTTTAACAACACCTAGACGAAAAGATTAAGTTAACGCAATGCCTCAATCGCTGGAAACCTTCAACCTTTGATTACAGTCTGCAAGTTTCTAAAACTTTGAATACGTATGTGATTTAAAATCTAGAGGGGAAACAGCGAATATTTCCAAAGCGTTTCTATTGTCTAACGTAGCCATTAAAATAAAAGCATGAACATAAGAATCCACAACTATTTTGTTGGGAGTTAAAAAAGACTAAAGTTTGATATGTTATATGGTTTCCCTGACAACTGACGTGTAGTCTTGGACAGAGGCCAGTTAGAAACCTTACGAGGTACAATCTTGTCAGCAACGAAGGAAGCTCTCCGAGAAACAGGTGTAAATTAGAATAAGGGCGCACTTTCAGCAAGTATGTTATCAGGATAGGACTGTCACGACACATACGTGGTACAGTGCAGTGACATGGAATCTGTGACTATTACAAACAACTATGCATTTTACTTCAGACTGCTCTCAGCGTTAACTTAAATAATTGGGTGACAAACGTGAACAGTCAATTAAATGTCCTAACTTATTTCAGAGTTCTGAAGCAGAATTACTATGAAACGTCGTAAGGAAATTGTTATATTTACGAATACCGATGTACATAAAAGTGAAATTTTAAAGTGTATTTTATGTTTTTATAAGTAATGATGATTTAAAATCTCGTCCCAGCGTTCTGAAGCATAATCACTACGAGTTCTTAGGAAAGTGTTTGTATGTATAAATATTAGCTTAATAAACGTGAAATTTAAATGTATATTCTATACTTAACAGTGAACTAATTTTCCAGCTTGAGTTCTAAAGCAATCATTATCAACAGCTTTCACAACCGTTTGTTATATTTATGAATATTGGTTTCTATAAAAGTTAAATTTTAATGTGTACTGTCCAAAAGTGGAGCAAATATTCCACATTTCAGGGTCCTGCAGTAAAATCACTGGGAATAGTTGTCACAAGCTTGTGTCATATTTATTAATATTCATTTTTATAAACGCGAAATTTTAATGCGTATTGATTATTATTATACGTAACAATGAACTAAATTATCCAACTTATTTTAGCGTTCTGTACCAGAATCATTAATAACAATATCAGAAACGTGTATTATATTTCAAACGTCAGAGTCCCTACATACGTATTTATATTTCTCTCTACTTGTAACGTTATTATGAACTTTCCTAAATATTAAATCGGCAATGTGTTCGATTATAAAAGCAATTAAAGGGGATATTCTGTGGTAATATTGGGACTATGTAAATATAACTCACAGTCCATTTTCTGAATCAGAATTAACCTAATTCTTATTAAAGATCTTGTCATAATGTATTTACTTATATTTGCATCTGTTACCATGGTAACCATGAGCTGTAATGCGGCTTTAAGCAGACAATATAAAAACATGGTAATGGTAAATACAGCTTCAAAAGTCATAAATCTCCCTGAAGACATCATTGCATCTGCACACGAAGCAGATTTCCATTATACTCATATATCATCTGAAAATCTCGATATGAATCACGAAGTCGATAAAATGACAATGACAGACGTCAATGTTGTGTCGTCAAATCTTGGCGAGGAATGTGATATGTGTGTGTCAGAGAGTGCTACGACGGGGAAATTTAAAACGCAAGACAAAACCAGTGTTTCTACTTCATCATTTGTCTACGTATCTGATATGGTAGAACGGGACGACAAAATTGATTTAAGTGTGAAAGACGGCGAGAAAACGAATATAGCCGAAACACTTTCGGGAAACAATAGTACGAAAAATACTTCGCCAAAAACAACTGTAAATTTTGAAAAATCAGCTACACCAATTCAATCTCAAGAACTTTTTACAACACAGGAAAGAATTAAGAATCTTTCGACAAAATTATCTATCGAAGGTACGGAGAAATCGGTAATTTCTACAGAATCTAACGTCCAGAATGCTGATATTAATACCAGTCTTCGTTACAAATTTGTAGATCCATCGGAACAATATTTAAACAGACCTCAAAACCCTCTTTTCTTCAAAACTGAAAACAATGCTAATGAAACAGAATACTACCATCAGGATAATGAACACGGTCTGAGTCACGCACTTAAGAAAAAACCCGCTGAATCCTATAAGGAAACTGCGGTTCAGAACTGTGATCCTGGGCCTGATTTAACTACCTATCATTCTGAGACTGTGAAACTGAGAGGTTCAATAATTAGACCAGCAATGCTTCAACAAACATCCAGGACATACGAGCCCATATTGGAGTTCCCAGACGTGCCAGAAGGGGGGAAGTTCCATATCAAGGAGTTAGATCTATCCGAGGGCGTCTTCGTCTTCGGTTACATCAGCAGTTTTCTCTCCTGGATACAACCCTACGAGTTCCCAGTCGGTAAGTAGAGAGTGAAATATTAAGTAATACCTCTCACAAACCGTTCATAATTTTGATGGCCTCGTGTTTAACTTTAAACGTGAAAAGATAGAAAAATGTTGAAAGGAAATACGTAGAAGAAATTCGTCTACAGGTGTACTTTTAAGACCCTGTTACAGTATCTGCACTGAGGTTCTGACAAAAATCACAAAACATCTTATACAAAGAAAATTTAATTTATATATATTTGTCTGTTTAACGCGTATTCTAAGCAGATTAATTACTGCAAACACTGATTCGAATCCCATTCAGTGCATGGATATTATTCAGTACGCTGACTGTAAAGGCCTTCCAGTGCTCTGATCCAATAATTATTCAAAATAAGGATTTAAAAAATCCCTGTAGTAGAGATCAAGAGACGCCGTGATCTGTAGCAAGCGACATGAATAAATGGAGCATGTAGTTTCGATATATTTCGATGCGTCGCTACAGGCTGGCGCGTTTTGATCAAGCACACATTATCTTTCGCCTTAAACGATGTATTTCCTACCTAATATTAAGGATTTTGAAGAAGTTACACGTTGGAAAGTAAACAAAAATTTATTCTTACAGAACTTTTGAGAGATGCCCTTTGGAATGGCGTATCGGTGGGCGAATTTATCATTCAGGTAAGATACAGCCTATTTTAACCTAAATCAAATAACTCTACTTTATAATACTGCATAACCTAATCGTCTGGTTAGCAAACCTTAAGGTACATTATCCTGTATACAATAACCCGCCACTAGACTCTATCGTGAACTACATTATTCTAGTCCACATTAAAACTCCCTTTTCTTTAAGATACACCTTCTTAACACTGACATTTCATTTACGCCTAGGTCTGTCAAGATGTCCCTTCCGATCAGTTGCCCTACTAAAATCTTGAAAGAATAGCTATTTCTCAATGCATGCTCATCTAATTCTCCTTGATATAAACACCCTGATAATATTTATTGACATTAAAAATTGCTACCGATGTTGTTTTATTTAGTGAATGTTCCTCGAGGACATTTACAGAAGTTAGTTTTCACTTTCCCAGTCTGAATTTAACGTAAAGGAAATCTCTGATGTTCGTTAGCGTCACCAATTAAAGAAAACTCAAACTTCCAATAAATGAACAAAAAGAGCACTAATAGATGCACGATAACAACTGCAAAGCGTCTTTCAGCCGATTAGACCATTCTACTCAAACCCACTACTGCACAGAATGCTAACACGATGCGTCGCTGTTGACTTCCTAGTCCCTGCAGGTGGAGGCTGCGTTCATCGTGTGCCTGACGGTAGGAGTTCTTCTGGCCCTCGGGGCGCCATGCATCCTGGGAACCCACGCCTGCTACCGTATGCTCAACTCCAGGCGAGACACCGGGAGAACAGAAGATTCTTCCGATGACACAGCGAATTGCCGAAGATGCTCTCTGATGCTTGCTATGCAGCTCACCTCCGTTCTTCTCGTGTGAGTATGCCTTCATGTCCCTCCACAAAAACATGGTGTAAATGGTTTTCAGAAGAACTTGCTGCACTTTCTTAGATTAAAATCCTTCACTCTATATACTGACGCTAGGAATAATCGCGATTAAAAGTTGCAAAAATGCGATTATTAGCTTCGATAATATTTGAATAACATAGTCATAAGACTTCTAAATATGTTTGGTTCGCAGTGACCAATTTGCGTCATTTTCACTGTTACATAGTATTTGCGACGTTCTTGCCCACAACCTGAGTAAGACCTCGTAAAGAACACGTAGCTCTGCTGAGACACAAAATGCGAAAGGCTGTTGAGTCCTTACAAGTCATTTCCTGAACTGTGTTGCCTACGCCAGTTTCTCTATTACAGACCGAAAACGCTTATTTAAAAACATGTGTTATTATAAAACATCTGATAGCGAACGATTTTCTTTAAATAAATAGGTCATGAACAAAATGTCTTTATTATGGTGCAAATTATATTGATTTCACTAAGAAAATATTGTTATTTTTTAAAAATACGCATCAAACGGCAGTTCCATGTGAGAAAACCAAGCAGCAAGTTGGTTGAAGCAGTAACCAGAATGGCATTTCGGAAGAATCTGGTTCGAATCTCTGTCGGGGTGCCGACTATAGTGCCTGGTATTTCAAGGTTTTCCTCACTATCTTCAACCGAGTGAAGAAAAAACATAGTGTTCGTAAATCACGCATGGGCTCTTAAATAGTCACAGCGATATTGCGTGTTCATTAATCTTATCTAAATGTAGTGAACTGCAACCATCAATGAATAATTTAATATGGGTTTCGTGACTTTCGATCTTCCTGTAGAATAGGTCAAGAACGCTTCCTTTTCAGCCCTTTCCTATTCACTATTCATAACCACTGTCTTCAACCCATCCAACCCAACACAACTTGGAAACTGTTTGGGAGCGTTCATCACTCAACTGGTTCATAATGCCGTAGTGTGGGCATCGTGTCAATGTTTGTGACGAACGAGCAGCTGACGCGTGCGGTGGACCTGACGCCAAACGTCGTGCACACGGCATTCAATGACGTCACAACGTTTCTGCACAACTCGCACCAGCAACTACGTTTCGTCATCACCAAGTCTCTGGACCATTCGGTTGCCGTCATTAACAATGATCTCGACAGTGAGTAGCAAACAGCTGACAGTCACATCGAATCGCATGAAATATTACTGTGGACCTTGTAGTTCTGCTTTCACGTAACTTTGTCATGTTCCACGCCATCTTGGTTACAGTTGCTGTTGCCTCTTATTTCTCACTCTTTTGTTTCAGCTGAGAGATAACAATATCACTTGTGCGTCATGACTGAAAAGACTAATAACGCAATAACTAGCCTGTTTCTTTCATAAATTAAAACAATGTCAGAACCATTCAAAGCTAGTCTTACTAATTTACTTATTACTATTTAAAATACTGAAAACAGACGCAAAGTACCTATAATTCACGTCAGATAACATAATGCCATCTTACGCCCCGTCTCGTGTTATCCCACATTACCCGACATAAATAAAGTTGTCTCCAAACTTAAGCACCACGAATTTCAGTCACATGAAGAACACTAAATGAATGTAAGTTCCAAGCTTCGGGTTTCGGCCGCTTTATCCCCGTAAAAAACAAAGCCCCCGATACCCACTAGATAGGAGGTGGTGTACAAAAATTTGTGCCCAGATGGGAATCAAACCGTAGTCGTCCAGCCATTAGCCAGTCACGTCACTGACTGGTATGTATATGTGTGGATTAGATTCATCTGGCCCAGGACAAGTGACTGTCTTTTGTGAAGAAGGTAATGAACCTTCGGGTTCATTAAAAGGCGGAGTACTTGAGTACCTGAGCTACTAACAGCTTCTCAGATTTTGTCCTATGATTTTCGTTCAAACGATGTAGTGCCAATTAGGCCCAGTATTCCCTTATATACGTATACACGTAATTTCTCCGATGCATTAACCTCAAAATTCAGTATGTAACAGAAAGAGGAGACCATTTTCAAAATAATACAAACCATTAATGTTAAACTATGTAAAAAAGGAGATTCCATGCAATAAACTCCAAACATGTACCCATACCAACAAAAGGCAATACAAATTAAAATGACCAATATGGGTTGCACTTTGCTTGTATCTCAGAAGGCAGTTAGTTCTCCATTTTATACGTCTCATTCCACCCTAGTCTTTTAAAAGCAGATTCAAATATAACTAAATAAATGTCCCTTCTAAAGTTTTAAAGTGACCAATGCTAGGTATATACAATTCCTAAATTACAAAGCATGAGCTTTGCTGAGTGCACGCATAACGACTGTCAGTTTTTTATGTTTCCCGTCCTTTGTTCATTTATTGCTGTACAAAATGTATAGAATCCGAGTTCTCTTCGTCGGTGGATATTTTACCCCATTTCGGTCATATTCGAATAAACTATTCTGGAAATTAATACAAATGTCCGTTAACGGCCTTTGTAGGTAAATGTAAGGTAGACCTATAAGGGAAGCCAACGATTACAAAGCTTGTTCAACAAGCGAATATCAAGTTACGTCGACAATAAATGCGCGTCAGCAACATTCATATAATAAACAATATGGAACACGAGTTTCAGTATTTAAAAAACTTATTTAAGATTACAGAATAAATTCAAAAAATACAATCATACAAAAATGACACTATTACGAAAATTTTCAGCACACATATTACAGCCTGCAAAAATTATAACATCATACCGTAAGCATACGAGTATGTTAAGAATGGGCCTTAATTAATTCCGAAACTATGAATATTTTATATAATTTGTAGGTATCCGATCCTTTCACATGAGATCGGACCATTAAATATACAAAACGGCACAACACAGAGAAAGATGACCGAATGCCTCAAACGGGATTTGAAACGTAGTAACGGTCTCCCGGCGGCCGAAGACAGTGGGCCTACATTCAATTGGACGAAGCGTCGACGTTGCCCTTACAAGCTTTTGGTAAATCTAAAATAAGCAATGCTGGAATCACAAATCGGATACATTTCACGGACTGCAAATTAAATTTTCTATTTGCAATGAACTTACTATGTATGATCTTCTCTTCAGAAACCCTACGTTAAATGAACGTGTACTTCTCCTGTGATTCGTGACTTGATTAGAAGGTGGTGGATGGAAGAGAATTAGTCTTTTTAATTGCCATTTGAATCAAATTAACTGTGTAAATAGCATCGACGCGAATATGAAATTAAATTTTCGAAGATGAGAGCTAAACTGCAGAGATACATTGCTTACGAAAAATTAACGAACAGAATTCTGTAGCAATAAATGACTACATACCTATTATTTAAATACTGATTAACTGATTATTAAGTTAGTTAGGATATACGTACAGACCAAGAAAACAGAAAAATTTTGAATGCTGTGGGCACATTCCCACGGACTGACAAATTTATTCCACTAAATAAGACAATGATTCCGTAAATGTCTGTGGCGGTGGTTGATTCATTATAGGAACACTATGCTGGGCATTGTCCGAGTTATATTTGATATAGGATTACGACATTTAGGGATTGTCTCTCCCATCTTCAGGTGATTGGTTGTCATTATACCATAAAATTCTTGGTCAGATTTTATTTTGGTATCAATGGCGAAGTTGGAATCGAGCCAGGAAGATTTTAAATATGATGCCAGTAGGCTAATCACTAGACACCCCGGTAGTCCGATTTGGTCCGCAGGAATTTTGATCGCAGAAGTTAGCAGCGGGACCACACTCATGAAGAGATGAAAGTCTGGTTTTATCCGACTGGTTAGCTAAAACGATTCCGATTCAGTCTGTCAGTCAGTGACAGGAGCCACGCCAATAGAGAAGAGCCTGTCTTCTGCTGCAAGGAACGCGATTTATTACTCATGGAAATGCAAATGTATGGAAGCCCTCCAGCGGTATGCAATGTGCATTCACACGAAAACCGCTTTGTTTACCAGTTGGTAACGTAAAAAGTAAATGTTCATGTGAATTATGAGTCCAGGATGTTTATTTTTTAGTATTAAATAACCCTACTGCACAAAACAGGAACAAATCTAAATAGGAATAGTCCATATTTGTGTTATATTTCAAATAAACAAAACGACTCAATGGAATTTATCTCAATTCTAGTATTGAAAAAGCTTAACCCAACAAATACCGATCGTACTTGACTTGAATATTTCAATAAAAATACATTCTATTTCATAAATACATAAAATGTGCAGACTACACAATTTGGGTGTCTGTAAACGACGTTAACACGTATAAATCATGTTTATAATAAAATTAGGAGAAGAATAAATTCTAGAAATGCGTTTTATTATTCGGTTCAAAAACTGTTGTCTTCGTGAGTGTGAAACGCAGAATCTTGAGGAAAAGACAAATTAAAACGGCCGAAACGAAAATATCTCGAAGACTTATTAACGAGTTCACACGAGCCCGGCACTGGAGTCTCTCCTAAATCACTTTAATCTAGTCCAAATCCACATACACTCTTATCTAAGATACATTTTAATATTATCCCGTTGCGTATGCCGGTGTCTCCCATTTGATCTCTGCCTTCAGGTTCCCAACCACAAAGTACTGTGTAAAATGTCGGTTAACGCTTAAGTTTGGAGATCACAGAACGGGAACCCCATGAAAGTTTTTGTAATTATGTATTTTGGTTTAGTTCCTGGCAATTAGCATATATTTAGATTACAGCTTTATTACTTAATTATGGCCATTCAGAAAATTGTGCCGTCTGTTATCGCAGATGTGGAAGAACTTCTTGGTCGCCCTATACAGGAAGAATTGGCCATGGAGACTGGAACAGATGTAGCATTGGATGCACTCATAGATGTCAGCACAGGTTAGAGTGACAATATTTAGTTGTAGTCAGTTGACTAAATGATTTCGTATTGCATGGTTTTCCTCGGAAAGCTAATAGATAGGCGTACTCGATCGATCAACGAAGGCATTGCCTTTGCGAAACGCGGACAGTTTAATCCAATCACCACTTACAAGTCTTACTTCTGGGGCAATCATTTCAACGTAAGATTTGAGGTTTTCACAGCGGTGAGTATGAAGATTTCTGTCAGAAATCTTCAATCATTTCAAGGTTGTCCTCCCATTTACGCGTAGATCACCAACTGAAATCCGACCACTGTTTCAATTCCTTGTGCTGGTATACGGGTATAATGGAGCGTATGTTCCTATTTTAGCCCCAGTGTTTATTGAAACATTTACTGTGTTCCTGCAGCGAAGTGTTTCATCGTGCAACTGAGATAGAGCTGTGCGTAACTTTTTTGCAGAAGCGATAGTCATGTCTGAGAGGGTGAAAGCGCTGCTGACGTCATGCGCCGAAACGCTAGAGCTCGTTGCCGAGACTCGGGAGCGTCTGGCTGACCTGAACCTGCAGGTGGATGTCTTCCGCCTTCAGTGCCCCTCAAGATACCGACCCCTGTGCGACACCGTGGATACAGGGGGACTCGACGTGAGGCTCCGCCTAGATGCCGTGCGTTACAAAGCCAAATGCTAGCCTTTGGGTTGTGACAATCGTCAAAACACTGTGGGACAGCAATGTAAAAAGAAGTTTAAGCAGACTGTTATAATACGATGGAAGAGAATACATGTTCTTATTTAAACTAGCGTTCCTTTAACGGAGGGATTCTTCTCGTCGAGTAACATAATTTTGACAACGCTAATTCACGACAGACTCTTGACGCAAATTCAATTTGTAAATTAGGTTTGAGAGTTCCTAGTAACAAGGAAAGTACGGTACGTGTTATTTTATAACTAAATAAGAAACGTCAAACTCTTGTTTTCAAGAGGAGTTTATGTGACCTGCATTCGAAAAAAAAATCCTCAAAGACAAATTAGTAGCCTTAACAGTACAGTAGGTTTAAACCCCAGGAATCACAGAGAAGTTCCAATTGTCGGCTAGAAAAGATTCATTTCTCGTCTCCTGAGTTAAGTGATACCCCAATCATAAATTCCGCTTCTTGGCCGTACGTATCGCCAGTACATACCCTGCAATGCCTTTGTCAGTATCATCATCTTTTGGCCTGTTCCGATTCAAAATAAAAATTGTTTCTTTTACGTTACTGCGAGGACTGGGAAGTTATGGATTATAAACATTAGATCTAACGAGAAAAACAATATAAAACTTTTGTAGGCCTCTCTGAGATGTTGATTGTGGTCTCTTGGATTGTAACATCATTGGGGCTGGAATTCAATTATAAAGTTGGAAGCGACATTTGATAGTCTATTCATAGCAATTTCTAATAATCCAAGGCCTTCAAGTAACAAACAAGAGTTAACCTTCGTTGTTTTAGCTGGTCAGTGATGACAGACTGGCGAAGATCAAGGGTCTCGGGGACGGCAATTTGTCCCTGGAAACGCAGCAAGCCCGTGGACAATTCCATTTCATTCCTCAACGAGTAGAGAAAGAGACTAGGAACGCGCGGAACGGTACGTCAACCCATAACCCCAAAGATTACAGTTCTCGGTAATTAAAATATAATTAAGATCAATGGGAGCATACGACAGTGGAAACGTGCAATGATGATGTCTAAATAGAACAGAAAACATTTGCGGGTAGGAATAAATTAAGATCGTGATAAAGTATGGATGAAAGTAGCAATTACAATACACAGTACATCACAGTAAACAGCATGGGAAATTACTTAACTGGATCGCCACTTTTTATCTCTGATGAACTGGACCGGTAAGTGAAATGATTTTCCTATCTCGTCTTGTCCATCGTGTGAGAGTATGTTTGATATAATACCTTCGTGGTATTTCTATTACAGGCGTTAAACGACAACTAACAAGGCAGAAGGAAGTTCTGTACGACTCTATCTGGTCCTTGGACGTCATAACGCGAGACATCGCTTATAAATCAGAAGATGCGCGAAATAAGGTGCTGCAGATAGCCAAAGAAATATCCACAATCGATCAGTGGCGCTGGTTTATAGGATTCGGTAATGTCAATAAAGTTAGTTGCTTTAAAACTTTCAAAACATGAATCAAAACTGCATTTCCTCTACTGTTGGCCCCAAAATAACAGTTCTGTCCCGATCTATGAATGAATTTAAAGTACGTAATTATAAATAGTTATAAATAGCCTACGTTGTCTTTTGTAAAGTTTCATTGTGTCTCACACTCGTAATTCGCGAGCGTCAGGGTAAAGTGATTTAAGTCATGACAGTTATCCAGAAAAGACAAAATAGAAAAATTTCGGAAGTCTTCGAAAGTCAAGTTCATTATTAAAAAAATTGTTAAACTTTGGGAACACAATTTATACATGCGCTTAAGGCTTAAGTGCTAGTTTTGCTGTGTAAAAGGTAATTTAAACATTGAACAAAACTCACATTACGTTTTGAAACATTTTATAATACATGTCACTTTACCCTGGCAATGACGAATTATCAACAGTACTTGGAATGATGGCGTTCAGTACTGACGATAGCACAGTCTGACTGATGCCCAACTGCTCCGTGACAACCCGCCAGCTTATCTGATTCTTGGCGTAGATAAATGACTACCCCGATCGTTTCCAGGTTCCGCGATGTCGGTTACACTCGTCTGGTTGCTGCTCGTCTATGGTATCAGCTGTGGTTGTTGCGGATCACAGAAACGAGCGACCCACATTTTGTTAGCGTAAGTGTACAGACTAAACTAACACTGATAATTCTATTAAATATACAGTATGAAATCTGATGTTCTGACGGCGGTGAAGATGTTGATGTACGTCTTCTGGGTCATAACGTCATGTGGGCTTGTAGGCAGATAACGTTCGGATCAACATGCTGTCTCCATCTTCAGGGCTTCCCAACGTTTAGGAGAAACATGCTGCCTCCACCTTCAGAAATCCATGGATATGGAGGCAGTGTGTGTCTGCGAAACTTTGATAACTATACACAAGTCCAGAAGACCACCGTCGACCACTAAATATAGGTCTACAAAATTTTGGTAGGGAACCAAAATATGAACTTGATCTGTGACTCCAAAATTTTATTCTGGACTAAGCTTCAATCCTCCATTTTCTTGGCACACATATGTCCGTACTCAAACCAAATTTTCTTTACCGAAAATAACGAAGTCTGATACAATTAACATTTTCTTACTTCTTAATCGTTTTACCTTCATATCTCCCACTTAAAATTTTAAAGTTCAAAATATATGAAATTATAATTTTACCTCTTATAAAACACGGCAGATTGAGGGTGTGAGGATAGAATACGAAGGAGAATATTCGAAATTCCGTCGAAACAGGGATAATAAATGCAAACAAGAGTAGAAAAACCTGACGGGAAAGTTTCAGAAGTTAGAAAACCTAACCTAGGCGTCCATGGGAGGATACTATTAAAACGAGTGTCAGGAATTTGGGTGTGAGAGTGTGAACTAAATTAATCTGGTTGACAACAGTAAAATATGGCGGGCTCTTACGGACACGGCAATGGATTGCAGGTGCCATAAAATGCGGGTAATTTCTTGACAAACTTGAAGATTCTTACCCTCTCAATAAGTAACTACTCTACTGAGTTCTGTAGTCAGACATGCTTACATATTTATACTATTTTTTTATCCCGTTAAATACAAAATTGTCTCACTTACCGAGATAATCAAAGTCAGTTTCAAGCACAGCGTTATTACCAACTCGTCAAATTCGCGGCACAACATTACATCATAGTGAACGACAGTCAACTGATTCAATATACAATCGTACCATTAAACTCAAAGTTTACCAACGCAACAGATCGTAAGCTACTTGACACGAGGAAGATCGAGTGGGTAGAAGGGTGGGTTGATAGTGGTACACCTGTTCCATTCTGTCCAACTGCTCTAGACAACCACTTGAAACCTTCACGTCCTTCACAAACAATTTCCCTTGTGAAACCAGCAGAAGCTGTAATGCAGTGCAATTGAAACGAGCTAAAACGCTAGAACAAACACACCGAGCGACGTAACTCATAACAATGCTTCAAAATACAATGAGACACGTTCAGAAGCTGTCACAAAGCCCTTCTCGCTTCGAACCCCTCCCCTCCGCCGAACAGGTTATCTCAGACAACCCACCTAACGTGTTCTCGGTCGGGAGTTGATCAGGGTCAAACCTCAGCCTTGGTACAGACGACCCAGTTTCACACACTCCTTCGAAGTAAGGTCTGGGATAGTGCCTTAACACAGGCCACGGTCATTTCCTCTGCAGTTTTTTCCGTTTCACCAAATATTATAATCGCTGTTGTCACATCCGATGTTAAACGACTTATGCAGTTCACACACCACTCTCAAATTTGCTATGGGCTTCCTTCTGATAAAGATACGGTTGTTGATCTTTTAGCCCATTTTCGGTAATTTAAACAATTTTAAAGTTTTTTTTTGTATTGTCTATTTTGGTTTATTTGAATCGCAACGTTGTGATTCTTACTCATTCACTCCAAACATCCTTAACTAATATCAAATAAGAAAGTGACAATTACGGGTTGGACGACCGCCGTTAAATTCTCGGTAGAAACACGAATTATTCCTCTAACCATGTCATTCAGATACTATAAATGTAAAGAGAATCCATAACTGAAGCCCTGGACAGGATGTCTCTGAACTACATCTTCATACATGTTCAATTTAAAATGTAACAACATATGACCTACTTCCTTTAGTTTTATGCATAAAATGACTGCTAAAGTCATATCTGTCCATTTTATAACCAAAACAACAAAATGGGCTTTGATTAAATTTGGCACTGTCACCTTCTGAACTGCTATGCAACCACCTTCAAAACTACACAGCATTATGAACCACAAGACCACAACCCTCATTCTTACCACTGTGCAAATGTCAAATCTCAGTTGGTACTGATGAGTTCAGCAGTATCAGTGGAAGGATTAATTTCATTCTGGTAAATATCTGTCCACTATAATCACTTCAAACAAAACTTCGTCACAAAGCCTATCTAAAACTAAATCACACAAAGTTATATGAGATGTAAAATTTAAAGAAGCTTTGGTTTCCATTGGACAAGAGTCTGGGCAGTCTCCAGAGCCAGTGTTGTCACAGTGGCAGACAGAAGGACCTCCGCTTCTGCCAGGAATCGAACCACAACCTATATCCATTCATTACTGACCGAGCTATTTAACTCAATCTATATAACCTATCCAGTTCATAAACCATAGTAAACTAAAACACATTCTTCTGTTGTGGCCATATTTCAGATCTGTGGTACTGATGTGCATATTCTCTGTGGCACTGTGGGGGGTCGCACTGGGGGCCCTATTTGTAGGAGGTCATGGCGAAGTGTTTGTGTGTCGTCCCCTGTATGACGAGCCAGAGTTTAGCACTCTGACTCACCTTGTGGACCAACCCAGTGTGCTGTTCCAGAAAGGTGGTGGGTTCTTCTCGAACCTCCTTTATGGCAACAGCACCATGGATGTTCCAATTCGAGATGTGCTACAGTGAGTTTTGCTGTTACTGAAAACTACTTGTAAGAAGTACATAAAGTAAGCACATAATGAAGACTCAAATTTCCTCTGTTCTGATTAAAGTTTGTTTGCCCTTACACTTACATAATGCGTATAATATATAATTAATTTTCACCTCAGTAGCCCTTCTTAAACTGGTTAATTCCCAAATCATGTTTTAGGCCATATAAAAATATTGCAGGATCTGCATGCAGCCCACAGGTTGCAGTTTGCCGACAGCTGTACTATCCAGTTACTTTCCTGGAGGAACTGGGAAATCCGATCATAAGAGCAGCTTAGCCAACCAATGTGTGAACCATATACCATCAAAATACAATTCTAATGTGTTACCATTTGAGCTAACTTGTTTGATGATATGGTGTCTGTTCCTAGAAAGTGCAAGAAGAATGGGTCCGCATACTCAACATTCAGACTGAAGCAGGTGTTTGACATGGATGCAGCAACCAACCACAAAAGATGGGATTTAATGCATGCAGAACTGGAACGCCTACATGTAAACCTAACAAACCTGCAGCTCCTCACTCCAGGTCTACAGTACCAGTTGCAGGCACTCTTGCATGCCACCACTGTTAATCTTACCAACCATCGCACCCAGGTCTGTCATACAAGTAAACACACACAGCAGAATTTTCTCAAACACACGATTACATTTCTGACTGAACCACACCTGCAGCCAAGAGCCAGGCCCTGTGGATAATTGGGGGTTAGAGGTAGTGATCCTCAAGGAACAAATGTATTCTATAATTTACACTAGCACCAAGGAGTAGAGCCTTTCGTGATAAGCCAAAAGCCATTCAGCTCATCAAGAAATTCCCCGCATTTAGAGGGACCCACATGTCTGTTATTGTAATCACAAGTGTGCCAGTAGAACTCATCCTGAGGCAGTCCACACTCACAAAATTTATTTTTGTATTAATACATATTAACCTCTCATCAAAGCCCTGATTTCCCAAACAGTTCCCTCCCTCCATGTTTTCTGACTAAACACTTGTATGTATTCTCATCTTTCTCTTGTATGCTACATGTGTTTCCCATCACATCCTCCTTCATGACCTGACTAATATTTGGTGCCAAGTACAAAATGTATGCTACATGTGTTTCCTATCACATCCTCCTTCATGATCTGACTAATATTTGGTGCCAAGTACAAATTACAGAGCTCCTCATTATGCAGTTCCTTAGATGTATGTATGGTCCTTGAAATGCAGCAAGAGTGAGATGAGAATCAACCAGATCATTTTACAAAGAAACAGAGGTTATCTCTCAATAAAGTGGAACTAGCAATTTGTAACACAGCTGAATTTTTCTCCTGAATTAAGATTGGTACAGTAACCCAATGATTTGTAACTTCACAGTGCTTGGTATTTCTTGAGAGCCAGTTGTTACTCAGTTGATATGTAAATTTTCCACTTTTATAAAACTTTAATTTTAATATTGTGTCCACAATAGCCCATCATTGGCCACTTCAATCCAGCCCACAACTACATACACTATTTCCCTTACATCCATTTTAATATTTTCCTTCCCCTACACCTAGGCCTTCTAAGTGGTCTCTGCCTCTCAGGTTCTCTAATCAGTTATTTTCCCTTGCATTACACAAAATCAGAATCAAAAATCAAATATATAAAGTCATAAAAATCAATACATTTATGAAAAATGGCCACATTCCAAGTATATTAATGGCACATGCAGAGTCCTTACCTTGTATAACACACAAGGCCCTGTAGTAAGTGACTAAGTGTTGTTCCACTTTCCAAACGCAGATGTCAGGACAAGTGACTGGTAAGGACCTCTCATCTTTTGCGGATCAGATGACGAGTGTGGCCAATCAGATCACAGACATGTCCACACTGTCCAGACTGGACACACTTGCCTCTACAACACGTCAGCTGGTGATCAGCCACATTCAACCTCTGGAACGACATAAGGTACTAAAGTTACCATTATGTTACATTACATTACACAACTTACCAAAAGAAGCTATGCCCACTCAAACATTATACCTTTAAGGCATGGTGTTTAGGCACAGGAATAACTTTACCTATTTCACTGTAATATTTGTTGGCATGTTCTCAGTTTTTTCACAGAAATATTCTACTGCCTTTTCAATGTTTCCTCTTGGAATTCTGTACTATATTTATATCTCATGTAATGCAAGTATATTTAGGGTTCATAAATTTAAGAACATATTTATATGAAGAAAATACTGCTAACTTCACAGGTAGATCTGGTGTACCAGCTGACTGCTCTGGAAATGAAAATGGTACCTCTTCAAAGACAAGTGAACCAGTCATTATCCCACCTCAAGACAATACAGTATTTCATCAATAATCAAGGCAGCAACATTGCATATGAGGTTAGGGAAGTACATTTAATTTCTGGATATCTCTAGTACAGTGCCATCAGGCTTTACTTAGTACTTGGGTCATTTGGGTTCCTCTGTTAAACAAGAGTGGAATGGTATATTCCAATGGGTGGAAAGATGTGTATTTGACGTGTCCTTATTGCAAACCATAGTATGTTATGTCAGTACCAAGGAAAATCAAACAAAAACCATGACAAACATTATAAAAATCAGAGTTAGGTGTGATTTCATAGCCTAAATTCTATGTGCCTATGCACAATGTCTGGTTTTCACATTCACAGTCAATTTACTAACTTTTATGTGACTATCAACATCTTTACTTATTTCACAGAAATTTCAGGACTACAGAAGACGTCTAGTGAGCTATGTGGACCAATACAGGACACATGTATTGAACATGACACAATTGAATGTAGCCTCCTGTCAACCTGTCTGGAACTTATACCAAGCTGCAAGACTCTTCTTCTGCCGACACATAATGGATCCCTTGGTAATACGGCACACTTGCACTTTATTTTATCCGATTTATATTCTTTAATAAAATACAACTGCCTGTTACATGAGATTACAGGTTCTTATGGAAAGTATAATAATGACTGTCTCCTGCATTGTTACACTGTGTAGTACGGCAAAATGACAACTTCTGACTACCTCTGAAACATTGGTCATTTCATACCTGGCAAAATATGACAACTTCTGACCACCTCTGAAACATTGGTCATTTCATACCAGACTACATTTCACAGAATCCCAGAAGACAGTAATGTGTCTAGTAGTTTATTTGTTTGGAAAAAAACTAACTCTCGAAAGAGGTATGAAATTAAGCTGAACTTTAATATTACATGTAAAAGAACAAATAGAGCACGAGCTGGATCTCCCACAGCATAAGACTGCAGAACAAGCAAAATATGTCATTACTTTACTATTCATATTTGGCAAGAATTTATAACACATTGTATTCTGTGAATCTCAATAACGAACTGTCTCCTCACACTGCAGATGTGCTTATCATTCTGAACTCTAATGACAGCTTGTGAAAGTACACTACTGGGATTATTACGAACTTCATTGTATGTGCATTATAACTGAATAAATTATTTTATAAACAACATAAGTCTGAAATCACAAATTTTTCAGGAGACAAAAAGTAAACTATATTTGAGTGATTTGTTGTTGTGATCTGAACTTCTTTCTAATTATATTAACATAAAGTATCTACATCCAAAAATGTAGAGTGTGCATGATTTCTGCATACAACATACTTCAGCCGATAACTGAATATTTAGAAAAATGTAGCCCACTATTTCTGCAATCATCACTTTGAGTGACTTAAGTTATTCTTGCATTGTCAGTTTCTGCACACTAGAAGACATGTTTTATTACTTCACAAAAAAGTAATGACAAGTCAATCATATTTCACAGAATGGGTTCTGGTTTGCAACGGTTTGGTGTTTACTACTCTTCCTAACTGCCACTTCACCCTGCCTTAAGCTAATTGACCACTACAGACACCTCAGACAAAACAACATTTCCGAGTACGTATATAATATATATAGCATGAAACAGTCTCATAACCTCAGCGCTATGCCAAAATTTACCATCTGAGCATCTCCAAGCACCAAAATTTTGTTTCTTACTTCAGATGTTTAAAAAACATCAGTTACGTACTTGTTACGTCATATACCTTTCAATGTAAAGGAAAAATAATTGTGTCAATATATGCTGTGAAGCAGTATTGAAGTTATGAGGCTATATTCTGGAATTGATTTAGTCAATATTTTGTTCCATAGAATAATTTAGGCCTACTTATATTTATTACAGAAGCCCATCAGAAACTCTAATGATTTCTGAACAAGGAACATCTTGGACAACTCCTGGGTAAGAATGACCAGTAATAACAAAATGTTACTTACAGTATCTATTATGCATCATTTACATACAAATAAATGTTCATTGCATTTCTCAAAAACAATTAACTTTACAAAGAAATGAAAGCAACAGGAACTATTTCATATATTTAACACTGCTATAAGGTCCTAACTGCCCAACTACAGCTTGTTTCTTTACCGTTTAACCCAATAAACAGCAATGTGAATTCTTGTAAGGACATAAAAAGTTCTCTCTCAGACAACTCAAAGAGACAACTGACACAAATGGAGTCCCACATTTGAAACTGTCTATTTCTACTGAAAAATTGGCAACTACTACTATCGTTAAGTGTTTCACAATGGAATAAAATTCTTTTAGCCAGCACCAAAAGAGTATCTCTTATCTCAACAAAATCTTCTCAGCTATTATAAATATATGTAAGCAATAGTGGTTATGCTTTCTTGTGTAATTATTTTTGTGATAATACTGTAGTTGACTGTAAATTACTGTCATAACTATATAATTTATATTTGTATTAGAAACAAGTACTGTATTTGTGATATGACATGTTCTACATGGCTTTGGTCTATAAAGGATATATTGAATGTATATAAATTCTATTCTTCAAAATACTGTCCTAGCATTCAGTCACAGGGCCATTTTAAAACCATAAATTGTGTCAGTTGGGATTCAATCCAAGCTTAAGTTCTTTTATAATTCAATCAGATAAGGCCATGAATTATATTAAGATGATTATTTAAGACAGTTATTTCAATACATAAAACATTAGCATTATCCTTTTCAAGCTTGCAAGTTTTCAAAAATGAGGTTAAAGCATGTCACTAATGAGGAGGAGGATAATATGCCCACTCAATATAAAGGTTTAAGAATTCCTCAAACCAACAGATGTCATGATTTCAAGGTCTTCCTGTAGTAATGAACTGTTTTAGAAACAAATTGACAATGTTTAATGGGGAATGATAATGAATTGTGAATTTATTATATTCTCACACTTTGGCATCAGTACTATTCTTTTCTCCTCATGATATGCATTATATTGTCTGAGAAAGTAGAAATTACTGACTAACTAACTGAAGATTAACTTAATTTTGTATTTTTCAGGGATCCTGAACCAGATGGCTGGTAGGGTTTTTAATTGTACTGTAAGTGAATTATATAACATTTATATATGAATTGGAAATAAAAGAATATCATTTATAAATCTGAATATTACTTTGTTAAGACGATTACCAACACAGCACTATATGTGTGTCTCACAAAAAGGAGTTAAATTTAATTGTCTTACCAACAAAGGATTCATTACTAATGAAAACTGTAGCTGCTCTGATGTTTGTCATACTGGTAAGCCCTTTACTGTGTTCTTTCAACTCTTGCCATATAGCAATTTCTGGTTCCTATAAAGCCAAAACCTACCCACACATAGCAAAAACAAGGAGTGGAAATGTAAAGGTATTAGTAATAGTGTAATGATGCCCATGTGAAAATTGTTTTCATACCAGATAATTTTAAAAAAATTATTACATTTTTTTCCAAACTTTCTTTCACTCCATATTTATCATTAGACCCCTGGCAAATGTGATTTTATTAAAAAAAATAGCTCTGCATAACACAAAAGAAAAAATATCACCATATGTATGTGTAAAACTACATCCTAAATAAGACTATTCAGTTCCATGATTTTGATTCTTTCTTTTTGGTTATAAAGGTACAAGGATAAATTTGACCAACTAGAGCCTGCTAGTATTATGGGTACTTACCTTAAATACTTGCCATATTTTAATCACCTTATTGTTTAACATGTAACTGTTAATAGTCTTTATGTATTCAATAACATTCTTAAAATATAGGCCTAACCTGCCACTACTAAAGAACCACACAGCCACTCTGTAAAACACCATCATTTTCACTATCACAGATGACTGCATATTACATAAACAGTTAACTTTTAACCACAGAATTTATTTTCATTCAAAGAGAATGCTATCTCAGATTGCCCACATGATTACTGTTTGACTTTTCTTTTGTCTTGGGTCTAAACATGTAGCACCAATAACAGAACTATGTTTTATTATATGACAACTTGAGTTATATACATAACTCAGTCAGGTAACTAACTATCTTGTTTTAATATTTTATGTTTTTGTATATTGATAATCAGTACTCAACAGCCTACTACATAATAATGGTTGATTGAGACACACTAATCTATATCATTAATACAGAAATTCTATGACATGCTAACTGCTAATAAAAATTGTACAAGTCACTGAAAATATTGACCCTATTAACATCCTGTCAGAGATAATTTACAATAAAGTTTTCATTTGCATTCCACATTATGAGAAGAATGGAATAACTCAGCACAGAAGTGAAAACAAAATTAAGAATGTGTACATGCACCTACCTGGAAACCAACAATCCCATTTCCCCCTTCTGCTCATGTGATGAAAAGATCCAGACAAGTACAAAAAATAACTATATTAAAATATAATTGAGTTAGCAAATTATTTAAAGAGGAAAATGCTTCAAAGTTTTATGTAAATATAGGAAGAGGAAACTGGTACAGATACAAACAACTACACTATATATACACAAAGGCAATTTCATCCAAGTTAACAGGACTGTTCACATAAACAAGCACTAATGGGCTTTTAAAATTTATTTGATGAAAAAGTATAAATCATACAAATATAGAACTTGTGCTACCATACTTCCATGAATCCTTAACCCTGTAAATGTTATGGGTAACAAATTTCTGCTCCGTGGAAAAGTACACTGTGCACCACATTCTGTGGATTATAGATATTTGATGTTTTCTTAGCAGTGTAGATTTCAATAAGGACTCCTTTTGGTTTTGACACTCTGTAGACTCACAGATGATTAGCAATGATTTGGCAGAAATTCCTGTCTCCATCTTAAGGGTAGAAGTGAGGATCAGTTAGCAATTTCATATTAAAATATTGGTAACTGCACAACATTTTACCCAGAATGTCACAAAATCTAAGCAGACATGCGAAATATCAGTGTCATAGATTAAAAATTAATTTCAAAGATAATATTAAATATTAACTTACTATTTCAGAAATACAATTCTAAATTCTGACAATTGGTTAAAACTTTTTCTTTATAGTGAAAGGGTTAACATTATGATCAAAATCTAATCTACATATTACTGTATGATGAAGAAATATCAGGTACGTTCTACAAAATACATTCAAATGCTAATTAATATAAAGAAATGTGTCAATTCAGTGCTGAGATAACCAAGCTCAACCTCTGACACCGACTTTGGCTGAAGCTCGGGCTTCTCCTTCACTGTTAGTTGCTACACATGTATAGATTCCTGTATCTGTGGGCCTTAAATCCACTATCTGAACCCATGATGTCACCATAAAAGGCTCCGGTCCACCCCTCACCTGCACTGCCACATACAGATCATCACCTAAAATGATTACGAAATATACACTGAAAATTAATAGATGCCTTGAGTTCATGTATTTGTTTATTTATCTATTCAGTACCTTCCACCTGTTTTTGCATATGTAATACAATCAGTCACTAATTTACACGTTCCTAAAAGTAGGCATGATTTATCAAAATGCTATTCTGTAAATGTAAAATTATTAAATTAATAATCATAACATCTTTCTTTGTATCTTCATTCTGGAAATAAGTAGGAGAACCCATAAGTAGTATTTTGCATTAAATAAATAGGAGAACCCATAAGTAGTATTTTGCAGTCAGAGATAAAAACTAAATTTTTAAAGTAATCTGTAAAATTACTTTTATATATATTTACTGGAATGATTTCATGGTGTTAGTCTAGTAACTCCGTCCCACATCCACTGACTCCCTCACAATTTATGGAACAGAATGTTAGTACAGCAACTTACTGGGAAGAACTATGGTATTGTCATCATTTGCTTTGAACTCCCAATGGACCCCAGGAATAGGGTAGCCCTTAACCTCACAATCCAGTGCCAAGCCTTGATGCAGAGAACCACCCACATCTTCAGGGCCTGAAGTGATCCATGGGACTACAAAGAAATAAACACATTTCACTGCTAGTATTTCTGTGGTAATGCTGCCATTTTGTTGTTGTACACCAAAGCTCATTTTTCCTTTGTGTATATTCACTACTTCCTATGATATCTATTTTATATATTAATATAAGAGGCAATTCTTAACACAAAATAATTAGAGTAACTTATCAGATAGGGTTTGTATGTGTTTCAAATTTTCCTTTACTACAGTTTGTGTTTGTTTTGGGAGTGTTTTATTGCAAAATTACAACTACTGTGCATTTTTTCTTACAAAACTTGTTCCAGTACTTTATTTTTATTGTTACTAAAACCTACAATTAACCATGTCCTTACACCAAGCTTGACTTGGCTATATAATTAAGACCAAGCAGCTGCCTAAAACTTGGCACAGTTCTCCCATACGTAAGACATGAATGCTGTGTGTTGAAGGTTAAATATAGCTGTCAGGTAGGTTCAGTGCTTTATGGTACTTTTAATATTCTTGGCTTATTGAACAACCAACCTCTAATGTCACCTTAGAAGCGTGTTTCTCTCATAAAACTCTTGTTTATGGAAACTGAAATCTTTGGAGGGCTGTGTAACATCCACAAGGAATCTGAATCTTTATTTGCACCACAAAACTTGTAATCACTTTCCAACAGACTTAATCACCAAACCTCTGTATTTATTTCTTATTTATCCCATTTAAAATACATATCAAACCCATCATAACCTCCACCAAATAACAAAATCTAAAGAAATAATATATTCTTCTAAAACAGCAAGAATGAGTGTTCAAGCATCTTACCTGAATGGCAAGGCCCCCAGTGTTTCAAGTACAGAGTATTGCCACTTTTTACACTCGCTTCATTCATCTGGCACACGGATTCGTATGTCCTGTTGTCTGAACCACAAGCTGCTTGTGTCTCCTTACAAAAGCACAGTGCTTCTGGTTCATCCTGAGAAAGAATATAATAAATAGATGTGTACTTCTGCTTTGTCCTGTAACTAAAATGACATTTTGCATCGTGGCCAACCACCATGTAAAACCTTCAATGATTAAGCACAGATCTGTTCTTCTTGGCTAATGAAATCAGATGATCTGTTTATTATTATTAGGATACGTCAGAATAATTAAATAGGTATCTATGTAACTAACTGCATGGATAACAGTCCTTCTGAGACTTACTAGTCACTCAATTAGTCAATTTAAAGATTATTACCATGATCACACGACCTCGCAATAGGTCTATATCCTGACCTAGATTATTCCAGTCCACACCCTACTTCTTTAAGTTATATTTTAATACTATCTTTACATGTCTAGCCGTACAATATCATTAAATGTATGATGGTAGAGGCTTCGCAATGAACTGGTCTCCCATGTATAAAATGATTATCCCAGCACTAACTTTGAGGCTTCACAAAAGTGAATACATGAAACAATAAAATTATCCGCTACATGGACAAAAACAGCCAATTACACACACAATATTAATAATGTTATGTCCCATTCCTCATGTTTCATTTGAAATTATTACTGTCGACTGAACAAGAAGACAGACATGAATGGTGAATTGAATAGGACAGGACAGAAATAGATAGTGGAACTATCCTGAAGTTCAACTTGGATAGCTGAGGAAAACCTTCCGGCATTATAGCCAATATCTCAAACCTGGATTATTTGAGAATAAAATAATGATAACATTTAGACCCTGTAAGAAGAAAACAGGATGACAGTAGATGGTAACAACTGCATAATGAGGAGTTTCACCAAATAATTCAGAGTGATCAAATCTAGGACAAGATGAGAAAAACATAAAAGAAAAAGACCACATTGAAGACCTATGCAACAATGGAAGGGTAATATTTAAAGTGAAATTCAGGAACAGGTTCAAGGATGTGGACTATATTTAACTGGCTCAGGACAGGATGCAGTGGCTGGTCCTTGTGAACACATTAATGAACCTTCAAATTCCACAAAAGGCGGGGGATGTCTTGTCCAACTAAACAACTACCAGTTTCTCAAAGAATAAGCTCCATGTAGTTAGATACTTGTGGGAGACTTTCAACGTTTTGGTGATAGAAGGGGGGAGGGGAATTCTTAAAAAGTTCCCACATAGTCTGTGGCTACAAGCAAGAGCAGTCAGCAACGGCAAGTTTCTGCAAAGATAAGCCGACGGTAAGTGAAGGCTGCGAGATGTCCTTGCGAAATGGCAGGAAGTCCACAACACTTGCTCAACTAATTTATTTTAAAGCTGTTCTTTTGCTTGGCAAGATTATCATCTCCAAAAGAAAAACAGAGCAAAACTGTCCACTAGAAGCACATACAAATGTTCACAAGGCCTCGATGCGACAGATGTAACCGAAGTCATGCGATGGTCCTGAGTGGCAGATGATGGATGTGAAAGCATAAAAGTTTGAAAAAGCTTAAAGGCAGACAACACTGAACCACATTCCTCTCAAGACGTTTTTCTGGGGGTATAGTCCAGAGGCCCATTTTCAGTTGCCGAAAATGCCAGTGGTAAGATTATCGCTCTTGTAGGAAGAAATCCCTAGGTCAAAATTTGGGCGGAAGATAAGCTTGTCTGACTGAGGTATGCAGTCTCTAGCTTCAAGACTAGATTTTCGTTCATTTCAAAACAGCAACAAGATTCAGAAAAATAAATGCACCAAAGACAATTTCATTAAGTTGCAGGTTCAAATTGTTCTAAAGCTATTCATGCCACTTATAATCTCTTCTTTGCAATACAAGAGGTCAACATTTAGTCGCGTGCAAGGAAGGCAAAACATGGTCGTCCACTTAAATACACACATATGAAATACAGAAACAAAGAAACTAATAAACGAGTAAGAGTCATGTTTTGAAATACACAAAACAGAAGAACATTGTAGACTTCGATATTGCATTACATGTTAAAGAAAACATGATTCCTGTTTTGAAGTTGTAGTTAAAACATAGGCACGTGAAGTGATAAGTCTAGATAGCACCTTTTTGTCATTAAAAAAAAAACAATCCTCCGGGCCGGATTTGAACCAGCGACCTATGGATTACTAACATCGAATACCACTACAGTCCACCGCTCTACCAACTGAGCTACCAGAGGCACTGATACACTTTCATTTCTGTCCAGTACGCATTGGAGGTGCACTTACGTAAGTCCAACAAGTTTTACTACCAGTTGCTACGGTGCGTACGAACAGACATGTTTACACCAATAGACTGAACGAAACTGTGTCGAATGATCTTCCTCTGACTGCGATGCCTCACTTCCTTGGTCTAAGTCAGTGTTCAGCAAATTTTTCACCCGCGGCACACTCATTTGTCAAAGGCACACCTCAAAATCGAAACGACACACGGCCAAAAATTTGCATCTTCGACAAATCCTTGGCCTACAAGAATGCAGCCATAAGAAAACAAGCCATATACGCCATTTGAAGATTCGTATGAGATAGTGCATACGTTTTAATAGCCTTCACATGAAATAAAACACTGCAGTAAGCAGTTTGTAAAAACGTGGTGACAGTTTGTAAAATAGTTGTTTTGTTGTACGTACATTAGACCTAGCAATAGGTCACTGCTAAAGCAGATAACAGTGGGTGTAAGGTCAGTAGTTCAAGAATGTCCTTGCGTAAATCCGAATCCATAATTTTCAACGAAACGATTAGTTCAAAAGCAACATGACCGGGTAGAAACTTCAGAGATTCGGTTAAATTACAGAAACTGAGATATTCCTAAGAACTCAAATACTTAATTCAAACCTTTGAAGCACAAAACCTAACTAGGCGATACTCAGAAATTCGCCACCTATTTCAAAGAAAATACGATTCCACAAAATACAGGTTGGATTATGATGTTCACCGAAATAATCTACGTTATTCTGTAAATCATACTAAATCCATAAACAATCTGTTGATAAAATTCAGAGTTCCTTGAATTTTCTCTTCGCCAACGATGGGCTATGTGGACCATCCAGCCTCAGGACTCGGGGTCTCTTTCGAAGCTAACCAATCACCGAGATGCGTAATGCTGGTTTACCTCCTTGCTCCCAACACGCCTTCATGCCGTCATGTCTAGGCTAACATCGGGGCCGAGTGTTTATGACTATTGCCTCATATTCAAGAGGTCCCCGGTTGAGGTCCCGTTCTTCATCAAGCTTACAGTGATAGCAACTGTTAAATACCGACGACATTACCAAAGAATGTTTTCTCATAGTAGGCCTACTACAATAAAGGCACGCGGGCCGCTCAAGAGACACTGACACACTGCGGGTTGGGAACTTCTGTTATGAGGTTCATAGAGGTTTATACTTTATATCACGTGCCTATTTTCTTCACGATAAACTCGTTTAATTCAACTTTAGTATCGTGTACAACAGAGCGAACCCACACTGGTCAAAATTAAAGTCATTTAGACAAATTTCAAGGAACATCTCACAGAAAACAGTCAAACTGGTTTGGATACAAAACGTGAGTCCGGGCAAATAGGAAACGCGTTATTTTATTCAAGCCATGCTGAGTCACATGAACGTACATACAAGCTTAATAGTCCACACATCTGTTACATATGTTGCATTTAGTAATCGTCTTTGCAGGCAATAAATGCCTCACTTAGTAAGATTTGAGGCCTTCGCGGCGATGTGAATAAAGACGATGATCCTTGTTCTGGTAACCACGTTTATCCAATTAATACGATGGATAATACCTGACATCTTTATACTTTTATAATCTATTCTTAATGCGTACAGTGTCAATGGGCGATGTTAATATACCAGGGATCTTTTTATTCCCACCGGAACTTGATAAAAATCGTACGAAAGAATTCGTACTACAAAAGCAAAAGACCATCTGTCACTAAACGAGAAACAAAAATAAAAAAACTGTCATCTGTTTTTAATTGAAAGTATGAACACATGTTGCGTGGCGACACTGTCTAAGAATGACTATAAGTTCAAGTATAACGATGAACTTGGCAGAACAAAATTTGTATAAGTAGATTTGAGGTTTTCACGGCGGTGAGTCTGAAGATGGCTGTCTTCTGGGTTGTTGCGCCAAGTAGTCTGGTAGATGTTTGCCGACGTTTCAGAGGTCCTTGATGTCTTCATTATCAGGGCGATCGACCTGATGACGGACCTCTGAAACGTTAGTAGACTTCTGCCAGACTGCACGGTGCAACAACCCAGAAGACAGCCATCTTCAAAATTTGTATACCGTAACACATTGATGTCAAGAGTTAAGGCAGCTTTTACGGGCTTTACAGCATATAGTTATAAAATGAATACATAATGGAGAGGTGATGCCCCTCTTACTATAGGTTTAACCTAAGATATCACTTAATGTGCGTGTTTCTTTGTTGCTGACAATGGTTCATATATTTTGTTTTTTGTTCACTGGTCATCTTGTCTTAAACTATACAGCAGAAATATCAACACACTTAATTATTACTAACAGGTGTAAACACAAGGGAAAATGTGAAATTCTTATTGGAAATCCTGCAGAAAAGAGAGAACTTTGAAGACCTAGACATAGATGTGAGAATATTAGAATAGATTTTGAGGTAAGAGGGTGGGAGAGTGTGACAATAACACACGAAAAACCACGATATGTTACCCTAAAATATTAACATGCCGCTATTTAATCAATGAGATTGGTTGATTTAATTTTTGCGTAAATTGTGAACTTCAGCAGCAAATTTTCATCAAACGCCTTCAAATTCCAGTTCAAAGATCCGGGGCGGAGACAAGGCTTGACCGCTAACTAGAATTTGCAAATCGCGTACCACCGGTTGACAGACACTTGACGTAACTCACCCTGGAGGTGAGATCAGGTCTGAGCAGGCAGTGCAGGTTGGCGCCACACAGTCTGTACTTCCTGTTCTCGGGGGGCAAAACGGCCAACAGAGACGCGTTGAAGCATTTGTCCCCCTCAGCCAAACCGCACACCCCCTGCGGGCAGCAGTCGCAGATGTCGGGCACTAACCCCTGCGGGCAGTCTTCTCCTGGCTTAGGGCAAAGCTCCTCAATGCACTTCGGGCAATCTCTGCTCAGGAACTCCCCACCTCTGTAACAAAAGACGAGCACTGATGCTGTGCTGCTGGGAGATCATGAAGATTAAAACACCACAAATACCAAAGACCATCACTGGACATAATATTGAGCCAGGTCTGTCCGCCTGCCGTCCTCACAAAGCAGTTTCAAAATCAATCTTAATGTTATCATCGCACTTCCTTCTTTGTCTTCCGAGTTGTCGTCCTCGAAAAGATTTGCCCATCAAGACTGTGCATTCTATTAATTTCTTACATGAATGTAGATTAACTCCGGCTACTCTGATATTTTCACTCTGCACCAGTAGATTTACACTGATTGAATGAGGAGTAAAACCACAAACTACGTATTGTTTTCCAGTCTTGTTAATTTCAAGCCAGTGAGACAGAGGACAGAGTACAGAGTACGAAACAAAATGATAATATTAGTGACATGAATGTGGGACGTCAGATTATTGACCTCAGCGTGAGAAGGCGCAACATACTAGAGTGTGGCTTATTTAACGACGCTGTCAGTATCTCAGTCTCTGCAGCGTCGAACGACAGGATAATTAACGAACTGGAAAAGATATGATGAAGAAAACGGTTCAAGCCTATTTTAAGGTTCTTTCCTAGCATTTGCATGCAGGGACTGAGAAAAACTATGACACATCTCTCAGGATATCCGGCCTAGGGCTGACAGCTGAACCCAGGATATTCCGAATATGATGCATGAATGCTAACCACTTCTCCGCAACGCACATACTGTGCTAAACAGGTTAGGAATCAAATCGTTTAAGAACATAAATAAACATTGAAAACACTGGTAACTAACTCCATAAATAGGCCTTGTTGATAAGTTGATTGATAGTCGGTCAGATGCTCAATGTATTTCCCGTCTGACGGTTCATTGCTTTGTTTACAAGAAACTGTGCACTGTACCCTTTCCTGAGTCAGTTTGATCCAGTCCACGTCTTTATATATTTCTTTAACATTAATGTATAGTATCGTCCCATCTACGTCTAGGTCTCCCCCCCTCTGCCAATCTTCTTACCAGTGTTGAGTGAAGGGAAGAACATGTGAATGGGAGCTTTCTTAGCTTATTTATACGTCTCGTAGGATCCCTGGACGAGTGATCAGCCCATCTGAAGTCCTCTACATACACAGGACAGCACAACACAGAGAGATTAAGACGAACATAAATGCCTTGTGTGGGATTCAAACCCATGATCCCAGTGTCTGAGCAATCGAGGCCCACTCCTCAGACAGCGCGACCACTGTGACCAACATATTTTTTACATAATCAACGGGTATTTCCAGTGACATACAGAATAACAGAATAAATAATTCGTTCACGACCCGCCACCTCTATCCTCATCTAGATAAAATCAGCCCACAACCTTACATTCCGTGTCTTTAAAATTCATTTTATATAGTCCTCCCACCTACTACTAGGTCTTCCGTGTTGTGAGACTTTCCATCTAAAATCCTGTAATCATTTCTCATCTATCCTGTGCGTGCTACATGTCCAAGTAATTATTTAAAGATTGTAAACTGCGTGCTACTGCCCGAGTATAATTTAAATGTAAAGCTATTTATTAACCCTTTAAAGCCGGAGTTAATCTATATAACACAAAAATTCACTCCGTACCGCAAAGAAAACAACACTTCACCACGAAAAAGACAAATTCGTTTAAGCTGTTTAAAAAAAACAATCTCTGTTTAGATCAATACGAATACAAAATGCAGACTTGTTGACTTTAAAAACAGTTTGGGGATACAAGGGCTTTAAAGGGTTAACCCAATAGTTTCGGTGTTGAGGTTTTACCTGTCGATCCTAATCGACGAGGTGCAGGAAACAAGAGTTGTTAAAAGAAGCACAGCTACCGTCCCATCCATAACGCAGCTTTGTCTCCAGTGAACTGATTGCGCTTCTAGCTGACGCGTTAATATAGTCATGACCCGGTACAGATGAGCAAAGCAGATTCTCTTCTAACACAGATGGAGCAGTGATCGAGGGGCGCTCCGCTTCAGACCAATCCAAGAGAAATAACAACTCTTTGAACACGGAACAAATTAGCTCATTGTAATGCATCTGACGTGTATTCTGGGCGTACACCGTTCGGGACACGAGCAACGACCGATAATGGTTATCATTTTCCTCACTCACTCCACAAAAATCCGGGACAGAATCTGGAATAAATCACGGATATATTTGCGATCATTTTAAGCGCTAATAAAACTCTGTAGCTGATACAATATCGTTATATATCCTACGAAATAATCAATGTGCCTGGAGAGATTTATTAAAAACAAGCAAAACATCAGACAGGCTAGCCGGTAACACGGCCGATATTCGGGCAGGATACTTCCCAAATACATATCTAGGCATTCTTTTCAGATTTGGTTGGCTGTAAATTACTGATGTTATGCTTAGCTCACTGCGATGAAAGTAACCGATACCAGGACCTTTCAGATTTTAATAGAATGTTACCTATTTGAGCCTTTGTATGGTTAGAATCGTCATTTCCAGCAGGGGCTTGCGTTAGATACAGAAAGCAACAAATAGTAAATATTATTTCTAGTGCTTTGGAAAGAAATGGTGAGAATTACGACCGAAATTAAAAAATGAAGAAACAATATATAATATTCTGAAGGATACCATGATAAGGTGCTAAGATGCCGGTCACAGTACTCCTGCATATGATAGAATGATGTTCTCTGATACAGAACGAAATGTGTATGAAAAAATAAAGTGCTTCAAGTAAACAGAGTGTTCTGTAGATTTTTCGTAAATGATACTTTCCTGAAGATGGCTACCTTCTGGGTTGTTGCGCTATGTAGTCTGGTAGAAGTTCACCGACGTTTCAGAGGTCCTCGATGCCCCCATCATCAGGGCAATCATCACCCTGATGATGCGTCCATGTTATTAACACCACCTGTAAGAAATTTAAACGTAGGATGTTGGTATAGTCCCTAATCGCGTAAAAATCGGCCATTTGGTTTAAACTGTAAACGGGGGTTGGGTGCGAATTTGCAAAGTACAAAATATGTTTAAAGATAACAGTTTCGAAATGTTTGATATAAAATGTGAAAGAATTGGAGTATCAAACGTCGTATCCGTCGCATTTTGTCACGTTAAAAGCCAAGGCGACGGAGAAATTGGCAGAGACCAATAACATTTATTTTTACTCGATGCTTAGTTAAAGCTCTAGGGCCAGGTCCACTTTACCTTATCCTGTCGAATAACAGAAAAAGCTATTTGGTCAATAAAAGTGCTGGGTTATTAATATTAACCACAACCTTCTTGAAATATATTTACAATAAAATCATCTTCACTGTACGAAGCAAAAATATAAATATTTAGGATTTCAGGTTTTCACGGCGGTGAGTCTGAAGATGGTTGTCTTCTGGGTCGTTGCGCCTTGTAGTCTGGTAGAAGTTTACCGACGTTTCAGAGATCCGTGCTGCCTCCATCATCAGGGAGATGAGTAAGACCTTATGCGCCTATTGTAGCCTATTTTGGAATTACAGCTGATTTTCAAAGTGCAAGTTGCGAGTGTTTTAAGATGACTGGTAGCAGAAACGGACTAATCAGATCCCAAACCGGACATCTGGACACGGCCACAGAGCCCTGGCCTCTATCCCTGACCTTGCAGATGGAAGACAAGATTATATAAACACACAGAACATTCTTTAATTTCATTTCATTTTGTCGGTAAACATATCGCATACTGGAATCTCAACCAACGAGCCAACAGTACCACTCTTTACTTTGGTAACAGTAGCATTACTTGTTTTTGTTCAAGCTCTATGGGTTCGAATCCTGATTCAGACTTCCTGTTCGCCGGATTAAGAGTTAATTCAGGGTAAGCTATGCCTTGAGTTCATGCTCCCAGCTGGTAGATACAAATACTTCAAAGCACTGACAACGTTGTACTTGGTAAGAATGTACACAGGATATGGTGAGGTTAGAACTCCTTTCAGCCTGCACTTCGTTACAAAATTCTGGTTTGTTTAATGTGAAAATACAAATCAAAAAGTGCGGGGTTATCGCAACACCTGTAGCAATGAGCCTCAGTGCCTTGCTTTGCTCCTCTGATATATGAATTATGTTAAGCACACGTGTCTCAAAGTAGAAAATAGCACTTACTACATTTTTGCCATTTCTCCGTGCATCACAAATCTCTGCGAGATGAAATAACCTCAGGTGAAGAAATCTTAGAGTGAAAAGAAATATATCTTCTTCCTTCTATCGTGTGTCTGATGCGTGCTGTTAGCAGTTTCATAGTGGATTTACAAATGGCAGGCAAGAAATTGCACAATCTGACGGCAGGGATCGCCACAGTAGTGATGAGCGCAAAATTTAAAACAACTTTTAACCCTATTGTAACTAAACAGTCCCTCCTTTCGCCTAAAGAGAGGTAGGCTAGTAATAAGAGCAAAGAGAAAATTATATAATTAAGAGGTCCGTAATTTGTTTTAGGATGCAAGACGTAGTAGGCCTGTAATACGTAGGAAACAAGGAATAAATGTAAACAGTTTGGTTGAAAACCTGAATGGAAGAAACCACCAGACATTTGGTCAATGTCAAAATACGACGCACATCGAAAGTTGATCATGGCAAAGGGCCAAGCTGTAAACGAAACATTGTATGTTTCGCGACTTGACATAAAACTGTACATTACACATTTGCAACACTATTTTCGGTGATCTTGTCCAA